AGAAAGAAAGAAAGAAAGAAAGAAAGAAAGAAAGAAAGAAAGAAAGAAAGAAAGAAAGAAAGAAAGAAAGAAAGAAAGAAACCTTCTGTTTCCTGCCTGGTGATACAAATACGTGAGATTCCCCAAACATGACAGTCTCTGGTGTGAAGAAACATTGCCTGTGTGTTTTAAAGGTGTGTGTGATCATTTTCAGATCTACAGTCCATCGCTTGAGCTCAGAATGGTAGAATACAGATAAAATTAAATACTACCATTGTTCTTGCCTGGGATGGACTTGGGGAGGGTGCGGTGTGCTTGCACCCCGAGGGGTGTTTTCTTTCAGCTCACCCCAACTAGGTATCTGAGGAAAGAAAAAGAAAGAATTGGCGAACATCCTGGGATGTCTGTGTTTTATTCTGTGTTCTCTGCCTCTTTACTTCATCTGACAAGCTCCATGTATTTGTTCAGGTCTTCCATCTTTCTGTTTTCAGTGAGCTTCTGCTCCAGCGCAGGTCCTCTGCTCCTGGCTGGCAGCATTTTCTGCTGAAGTGCAGGTAGCATCTTTCTCTCTTCTTCCTGGATCATCTGCTGGAAAAGGCTGACTCCAGGGCTGAGGTGGCTTCCTCTGCGATTCATCACACAAACTAAACTGCCACTTGATTTTTTCACCTCTTCCCTGCCATAGAGCTCCCTGCGGTAGTATTTGGCCTTGAAATGTCCCTGTAAGCTCTGCACCGATAATTTATTTCTATTCAATGATCTACGGATAAGCCTGATGTCCTTTTGCAAGCACAAGACCTGGACATCTGGGGAAATCGAATATGGTCCTATTTACCCAGTTGGTTTGGGATGGGCATATTATGTTCCCATTGAAACATCCCTGACTAGAGTTGTATGTGAAAACAGCACGAAGCTAGCGTTGGTACCCAAGCATCCCCCACATTCCCCACCTCCATCCTTCCAACATACTTTATCAGATATTCCAAAAAGCATGTAATCATCAGAGAGATGAGGACAGGAAGAGCTGGGCTGGCTAATTTTCTTAAAATGTTAAAGAATTTACTTCAGTGTCATTCAGAAAAAATGGAGTGTTCTGGGGATGCTTTCAAGCAAAGTTTGGTGGTTGTTGTTGTTGCTTAAAAGAAAAGCTGCCTCCTGACAGCTACACCAGACACACACCTTAAGTGTATGTTGCCAACTCCAAAACAGTTCTGGCACTGAAACAATTTTGCCTCAAATGCCTTCAGTCAGAGGTCCCGGATGACATTCTCTGCCTTGTTTTGATCAGGATCTTCAATTCTGCTAACTCTCCTGGGTGGTATAGTCCTACTGGGAGCCTTTGTAGAATTTGCTCTTCTGTAACATTAATACCAGGCATTGTTTCTATACCATTATTTAATGATTCGGGAACTGCCCCAACAACAATTACCTCAACAACGGCCACAACAGAACAACTATTTAATCGACGTTTTCTTTGTAAGCAGGCAGACACACAGCTCCTCCTGCAGCCTTTGACTCAATCTTGACTGGCCTGGAGGAACATGGTGGGCTTGGAGGAGAGTTGACTGTTGTTTCCCATGTCTCTTTTTAGGAAGGGAAACTATTCAGAGGAATAAATGTTCTTTCTTCTGGGCGTGTTTGGAAACAACAGTCCCTGTCCTCCGTGGTCTCTACACTAGCTCTTTAAGCCTTCTTTTGAGGCTAGTTAAATTGGATTTTTCTTTGGCCCTGTGGAAGGCAAAAGAGAGAGAGGCCACCTTTCCACCTAAGTTGGAAGAATACTTTTCTTCTCAGCCAGCTTTGGACTTTCTGGGCTCAGGACCGACACTTGATGCTTAGTTTCATGAACTCCCCTTCCTTTAACTCTACCGTATGTTGGGAAACCAAACCAGCCAATAGGGGTCACTGCTACACAGAGAACTCGGCCTATGCTCTCCTGGTTTTAATTCTTGCCTGGGGAAGGGGAAAGGGGCCTCCAAGCCCAAGAATTATAGTTTGGGTTCTCTCCTCTGTTAAATGTATGTGAAGGGCCAGCCGCTGCTTGGATATAAGGTAAAAGGCCCGGTTATTTGGAACTAATTGCTTATTTTGTAGCCAGGTCTCCATACCAGATCTGCCTTCTGCACCAGCCTTGACAGTGGAGCCTGGATATGGTAAGCAGGAGCCCTGTGCATGCTAGGGAGAAAGGCAGCTGGAGTGGTGGTCCTTTAGCAGGAAAGTTGGGGGGGTGGGGGCGAAGCAGGGGAAACCTCAAAAGAATTGTCTCTTTCCTGGTTGTGGAAGCTGCTACAGCTTTCAACTCAGTGGGCTAATTTTAAATTGTCCTTTGTGCGTGCACAGATTAGAAGCAGATTTATTCTTTCCCTTAAGAAAAACCAAGGGTAAGGTATTCCCAGTGACCCACAGAGATTCGGAGCACGGGCTGTGCACTTTCTGGATCCCCCAAACGCCCCATAAACGTGCAGTGCCAGATACCTTGTGTAATTTCCTCCAGGCTCTACTGCTCCAAAACCTGCACCTATCACAGGGCCTTCCAGTCGTCCACCGTGGGCTGTGGATCCTTCCTTCGCTGAGCGATATGCACCAGATAAAACTAGCACTGTGCTGAGCACGCACAGCCAGCCGGCCACCCCAACGCCTGTGCAGAACCGCAACTCTATTGTCCAGGCTGCACAGCAAGCCCCGGAGAGTGCCAGCAAAACGCCCGTCTGCTATCAGTGCAACAAAATCATCAGGTAAGCCACCGAGGTGTTCTTTTTTTGTCTAGGGTGGGGAACTCATTGTGGTCTCCCTCCGCTGCTGGTATTATAGCTCCAGCAACCCAGCCAACATGGCCAGCAGTTAGAAATGCGGTCGGCTGTACTTTAGCAACATCTAGCGGGGCCCCTGCTATTCCTCTCTTTTCTCCGTCATTACTTGACTGAGGAGATAAATGTATGAATTGCCTCTGCTAATGAGGATTGAATATGTGTGAAGTGAACAGGAGTCTCGGAAGGGGGTGCTTTTTGGCTTCCTGCAATGGGCGTAATGCAGGCTGGTGGGAGAGAGCCCTGCCTTTCCAACCGAAGAGAGTTGCTGCGCCAATCCCCCGCTCACCCTTTCTCTTTGCTTTCCAACAGGGGGCGCTACCTGATGGCTCTGGGACGCTACTACCACCCAGAAGAGTTCACCTGCTCACAATGCAGGAAGGTGCTTGACGAGGGTGGCTTTTTTGAAGAAAAGGGCTCCATCTTTTGCCCCAAGTGTTACGACATGCGCTACGCCCCCAATTGTGCCAAGTGCAAGAAGAAGATTACGGGGGTAAGTTCAGGTGAAACGTGGCCTTCAGGGTAGCAGGTTACAGCCTCGGGTATATTGGAAGTTAGGAACATTGAGGAAAGCCTGGTTGACTCTTAACCCTCTAGCTGTTCCTGACTGCCAGTTTTTTAGCCGGTCTGGCTAAGCCAAGGAGAGCTGAAGCCCAGAAACAGGGCAGTAGTGATGGCTAACCTTTTCTTCATCGCGTGCTGAAGGGTGGTTCATGCCTTAGGAGATAGTAATGTGCTCGTTTCATCAAGGGCCTCATTCCGACCTGGAACAGAAGTGGGTGCTGATGGGTTGAAGATTAAGAACTATAAGCTAGAACTTCCTGGTCTGTCTTTCTCCAGGCATGTTTATCCATCTCCTGTCTACTCTGGCCTCTTCCTTCTCCAGATTCTTAATGTGAGCACATCCTGGCCAAAGATTATCAAGATGATGGCCGTACAGCATGTTCAATGCTAAGTGCTCCATAAAGCTCTTTTTTTCCCCTAATTATCTTGTCATATTGGCCAAGGAAATGCATCCATTCAGTGGAGTGACTCACATTCCTGTATCGCTTTAGGAGATTATGCATGCTCTGAAGATGACCTGGCATGTCCAGTGCTTTGTCTGTGCTGCCTGCAGAACACCCATCCGCAATCGTGCTTTCTACATAGAAGAGGGGCAGCCCTACTGTGAGAGAGGTACTGCATACCGAATAATTGAGGGATGGCTCCGGGTTTAAAGCTTTCTGAAAGCCCTTAGCTGCTGTTCCAGCCTGATGAGATGGAATGTACCCTGATTGGTCCCGGTAGCATGAGATTTCCTTGTACCAAAAAGAAAAGCCTTGAGCAAAACATCTATCATGCAATGTGTTGCTAGCCCTGGATTTTCTACCCTGGGCAGCAGGAAGAAGTTGCAAAATAAAATACTTGCTGTGCAATTTTCCTCTGCCTCCGGTTTGATCACCTTTTGTTGATGGTTGCTGGGCAGTTCCAGTTCTGCTAGGTTACTATGGAGATGGTATATTAGTACCTGCATCACATAGAATGCCAACAAGCATGCTGGGAATTGTTGTTTTTTTTCCTCCTCCTTTCATTCTGGGTCTGAACAATACTCCTCTGGAATATTCCATTAGGAAATTGGGGGGGGGAGAAGAGGGATGTGATTTCACTAACGAAATAGTGAACTGATCTGGTATTCTCCCAGATGAACAAGCAGCTGCCTTTCATCAGAAAACGGGTGGGGACGGTGCACAGGGTTCTTAACAGCATGTGTGTAGCCTTGCTGGACTCGAGCGTGAGGATTGTCAGCCATCTCTAGCCCAACAAGCAGCAGCACAGTTGTGTCAGGCCGTAAGCTTAGCTTATAACAGCAGAGAGATGGAGCTGAGGGTTGCGGGGGAGGTCAGAAGGAAACCCAGAACAGAAATAGAAGATTTGTAGATGGGACGAAAAGATGTTAAGTAAAGCTGGTGGTGTACTTGAGGCTCTCGGCCCCTGGAAAGTTAACCCTGAACAAAAACCATGGGATCCGTCAATTATTTTTAAGAGTTGCTGTGTTAATAACAGATTAGAAAAGCAGTGGCAGAAGATCCTGGGATGAATTTTCAGAATCTCCCCTAGGCTGAGAAGGACTCCCAGTCAGGAACCATGGAGAGTTTTGATGCTCAAGCAAAATAAAAGTTATAATATATGGATGATATGCGGGGGGGGGCTGGCCTTCCCACCAAGCCACCCAATCTTCGACTCCATAAGAAATGCATGTTATGGGGGCCGGTGCAAGCAAAGCCCTTTCCCCCCCCCAAAGTGTATACAATACAGTATTGTGTTTGAAAATGCTGGCTCAGGAATAACGTCGTTTCTCCCCTTTGTGCAAGATTATGACAAGATGTTTGGGACTAAGTGCCGTGGCTGTGATTTCAAAATAGACGCTGGCGATCGTTTCCTTGAGGCCCTGGGCTTCAGCTGGCACGACACTTGCTTTGTTTGTGCGGTAAGACAGTTCCTTCCCACTTTCCCTCTCTCGAGTTTTCTTATTCTACTTTCTTTTGCTGCACTTCAGGGAAATGCATTATAAAATAATTGCAGGCTATTATTCCCAGCCAGGGGCAGGACTGGCTGGCATAAGATGTGCTTCCTTCTTCCTGCGCACTGAGGTTGGAGCTACTGGATGGTGCCTACGCAGGCCCTTTTCTCACTTGCTTTGTCACTTGCAACACTGAAGGTCTCCTGCTGGTGCAATAGAACGGAGAGCCGATGTGGCATAGCAGTTGAGATGTTGGATCAACAGAGAGACCCTTTCAAAGCTTGCCATAGCCATGGGAAGTCACTGAATGGTGTAGAGCCAGCCTTCCCTTTTCGCCCAGCCTACCTTGCAGGGATGCTGTTGCAGAGCTCCTGGAGGAAATGAAGACATATCAGATATAATTAATGTTGGGGGGCAACTGCGATGTGCATTGAGGGTGGCAGCAGGCGGGATTTGTCAGGCTGATTTTCCTCACTTCTGTCATCTATCCAGGCCTTTATTGGGGTGTGGGGGGGAAGCGGGAACTGATGTGAACCTCATGGAGGACGTCTTTTTTTCCCTACAGATCTGCCAGATCAATTTGGAAGGAAAGACGTTCTATTCCAAAAAGGACAAGCCGCTGTGCAAGAGCCATGCTTTCTCCCACGTGTGAGACAGAGGAGACCTTATGTGCTCAAGCTGCTGCCTGCCCCAAAACTCTGCCATCCCTCTTTCCTGTCCTGAGAGAGCCCCCAGACCAAAGGTCTCACTTGACCATTTTTTTCCCCATAGAGGGAAAGGGTAAAACGCTCAGGGTCCTTTTCGGGAGGTTTACAACTGTCGTATTTTTTTTCCCCACCTAAACTGGTGTTCTTCCTATGTATTTGGCTTTTATCTTTTGCAGACTCCATCCAACTTGTGGTTGAAATTGCTAGACATTTGGGGAGTTGAAGTCCAGGACTTCTAGAGGACACCAGCTTAGGGATACTGTAGAGTTCTGTGCCTATTTCAGCCAAAGAAGTTTCTCCCGAGTAAAGGATCCCAAACGATACAGCATGCTTGAAATGAAGCATCAGCTGGCCTTCCCTAGAAGTCATTAACTCAGTGAAAACTTGCTATTAAACCTCCAGGGAAAAGTGGGGGAAGGCAAGTTTTTCCCCAGAGTTTACTAGCATTACTTTCTGTCCCCTTTGCAATGTAATTACCAACAATCCTCTGCCCTGTCTTCTCTGACAAAGCATTTGCAAAGGGCTTCTGTAATCAGGTTGGCTTTTGCCCATTGGCATGTATTTCCAGCTATGTTGCTCAGTGAAATTGCTTCCCCCCCCCCCCCAAAAAAAGCCCCAATCTCTTTTCCTCCTAACCACTTGCTAGTAACCAAAAATATGAGACCCCTGCCACAGAAAATGAGTGGCTTATCTAAAGAATTGTGTTGTCAGTTTCCACAGATCAAGCAAAGCCTTACTTCAAAGTACCGTACAGGACAGAAGAGTTTCAAAATCTAGCTTCTTCACACCAGCAAAAACTGCTTCTCCATCATGAGATGAACTTGAGATTCTATACCTAGGAACACAACTTTATATATACTGTAGTACACAGCTTCTGAGGTCAGAGGTAGCCTCAAAGCACCCCTACCAAAGACCTACTATTTGTGTTTTGCTCTAAATGTATTTCTCAGAACTGTGCTGTTCAGCTAGGAGTCTGTGATTCCTGGCCACCTTTGATACCCTAATAAAATACGCCTTTTAAGTCTTCATCTTGTGGGCTCTAGTTGTTTAGGAGTTCCTGCTAATACTTAGAACACTGGAAGTAGAGAAATCAGATGCAAATGATAAACATTCAAAGCACACTGCTGTTACCTTCTGTTCCTTGTCCTCTAATTATACTTGGAGGAAATTTCAAAAGAGAGTAACTACTATTGCTGCAACTCAGAACCACATATTTTATTTTGAAAAGTGGCAACTAGCAAGCATCTTTTCATGCAATGATGGTATTTCAGTTCATAAACTGCTGGGAATAATTCCATTATAAGGAAGTGGCCTGATCTGGAACAAGGTGGACAGAATACTTTTACTATTGTAATTAGACAGATCGTTTCTCTTCTGGTAATAGTTCAGTGAAAAATAAGCAGTCTTGGAGAGTGAGGAACCTGCCCCCCTCAAGTCTGTTTAGTGCAAAGGCTGGCCACATAAAAAATAATGGGAGAAGAGCCACAGTGGGATCAAAAGAAGGAAGATACCAGAGTCAGCAAAATGTGCTAATATTGCTTGGTCAAAGGTTTATAATGGGTTCCTAGGAACATGACACCTGCTGAGGTATCATATACTTCATATACTTTGGTTGGAGATGAGGAAAGCTTCTTTTTTTGCTCCATTCCCCCATTGTAAATTCTTCTATTTGTAAGTTATTTATCCTTTTTAATGAATCATTGCATTATGCTTCATAACCTGGAGAAGTGTATTCTGCACTTCTGTGCTTAAAGATACATAGCCTGCTGTGATTGTTTCAGTTTTGGTGTCTGCTTTGGGTATCGTTTTGTTGTTGGATGTTACCTTTGTGCCTTTGATGATTATTGATCCTATTTTTTTATGAAAGGTTTATTGTAATGAGGTAACTTTTCAATGGAGCACATTTTTTGAAGGAAGCAAAGCCTCATCAAAAGCACCCACTAGATCAATGCCTTGAGGTCATTTTTTCAAGGAAAGTTGATCTATAAGAAGACTGTAAGATAGATGATAACAAGAGCTTAGCACACATGGAAACTATGTTAAACTCAATCAGTCATAATTGTTGCTAAGGAGTAAACGCCACCTCAAATTGAATTTGACTCCTGGGGGGTGATATGGACATATTTTTGGAGCAGCAATATAGAGGAGTTGTTTGCCGATACCATCTCCTAGGATATTTTTCAACTTCCATGATATTTCGTGCAGGTTTCTCCCCCCCCCCAATCAAATACTAACTAGATCAACCTTTACTCGTAGTATTTTTGGTTTATAAATATTTCTGAATATAGTAGTTTGGCAGACCCTGGTTCTGGAGGTTTTTGTACTTGTTTTATTGGTGGTGGGAGGAGGCAGAGAGATTTTCTTGTTGGGTTCTGGAAAGCACAGATGGAGCAAATGGGAACGTCAAGCAGGGACAATTAGTTTCCCCCTACTCTTCACCTTGTCCAGGTCGTCTTTACAGCTGCTCAGTTTGATTGCATTGCCACTAGAAACCACATGGGCTTTAGCTGAAGAAGCCAGGTGACCAGAAAAGAAATGCAGGGCCCAGGGAGAGAAATCCATCCACTTGATGGATTTTGCAAGGTGCCATGACAGCCCAGCTGCCACCCACTCATTATGGGAAGGAGCCTTTGTCTGACTTCACAGTCCCAGAAAATGACCTGGACAAGCTCAAACAGGAGGCAGACATCTTTCAAACAGGGAGACGTCTAATGCCTATGAGAAGTGCTGAAGAGTGATAGGAAGAAGAAAAATCTGGTATAGGGGGTAAGCATCCAGCACTTTTCCAAATGCAGCAAGCAGTGATCAACTTTAAAAAAAGAACATGGTAGGGATCTGTCATTTGGAGAGAGAAAGAAAAAACAAGAGGCAGCTGCTCTTGTCTGTACTGATAGAATTGTTCTGGTGTAAATCATCCGGCTTCCCTGCTCAAATCTTTTCCCAGCCTGATGATATCCAGATGTGCGGGAGATGATTACCCCCATTCACACAGCCCTGGTGCACGATGGGCTTTGCAACGGGAAACACCCCCACAAAGTGCATGGCTGGAGAAGTTTCCAGTTTTCCTTAAGAGTTTATACTGTACACTCCTGTGATCTGGACCAGAAAATGCAGTTTGGAAGAGGTTACCCGGTCAGTTTCTTTCTGGCCGGCAATTGTGGGATACATCACAACCAGAAAGTTGTTTTATACAAAACAGCCCATTAGTGCCTGTGCAGAGTGCCGCTCCTGGGTGAAGCTCTCTCTTGTGTACCGTTCCCGAGCGGCTGCGCGTGAGGAACAGCAGATCTGTTGGGATCGCCCAGCTCCTACGCCCCAAACTTAACACCTGAAGGCAGGCCGGGTGGGAAGGGCAAGGCAGGGTCTTTCTTTCTCGTGCCGGCCGGACTCTTTTGGCCAAGGCTTTCAAAGGCTGCAAGATGGCTGATTCCGCGCACCCACGTGTGGAGAAACCGGGAGGCGGCGGTTTCTGGTGCTGAAGAGACGGGGCAGGGGCGGGCGGGGGAGCCCGTCATCCCGGCGCTAGGACCCAGCGCGCGCACAGGCGGAGCCTCTGCTCCTCGCCCGCCCGGCTCCCTCTCCGCTGCTGCAGTGTCTCCGAGGCAAGCAGGCAAGGCGGCCTGTCTTAATCCGAGCGCGGCTCCGGCACTGCTCTCCGCTCCCCGAAAGCAGCATCCTTCCGTCGCCGCCGGCATGGCGGGCGTGAGCTTCAGCGTGAACCGCCTGGAGCTGCTGGCCTCCTATCAGGAGGTGATCGGGGAAGACAGCCCGACGGACTGGTAAGCCCCCCGCCCGGAGAGCGGGCGATCCAGCTCTTTGTCCCCTCGGTGGGGAGGGGGCGGTGGCTCCAGCCGCTTTGTACAGGGGGGCGTGGGCGGTGTCTGCCTGCCTGCCTTTCTCTGGGAAATCGCCCTCCCGCTCCTTCCCTGCACGCTCCCCGTTTAGCCACGGAGGATGATCAAGGGAATTCCGCGCCTCCCACCGGCAAGATGCTCCAGGAACGTGGGACGGGCGGGCGCCGCCGGAGGAAGAAGCCATTAGCAACCCCAAAGTGGTGCATTGGCAACGCCGCTTGCCGGGCGAGGTGGGGCGACGGCTCCTTTTTTTTTGTGGGATACAAGGAGGGCACTGGCTGAAGATGCTCCGACGGTCTTTTGTAGTCGGAGCGGAGCTGAAAAAGACGCCCCGAAACGGCAGCGCCCCGTTTGGCCAGCCCGGGAAGCCCCCGCTTGCGATTGAAGCCTCGAAGGCACGTCCTAGCAGCTGCGCCCGTGGCCGGACGCCCCCCTTCCCGGCACTTTGTCTCGGGCTCGGCGGGGGCGGATCCCCTTCGCTCTTTTCCACCTGCTCTGCCGCCTGCGCCGGGCTGTCGTGAGCCTCGCGGCCGTAGCCCCGCACATCGCAGCCCCAGGCCGTCATCTTGGAAGGCTGCCCCCTGCTGCGGTCATCCTAGAGCCCTTCGTGGCCTTACCTGCCACTCTTCCCCCCGGGGGGGGGGGTTTGGGTGGGTGGGTAAAAGTTCTCCGATAGAGACCCGCTACACAAAGGAAGGTGGGGCCGGGCAAGGAGAGAGGCGGGGGTCTGAAGGCTTGAGGGGAGGGACTGGTGGACTGGGAGGAGGGGGAGGAGGAGGAGGGTCTGTGAGAGGAGTAAAGGGAGGCATCCAGAACTAGGTATCTCAATTCTCAAGAAATGCTCAGCCCCAAACTGTAGCAGCCTTTCATCCTAGCTGCTGAGGCCTGCAAGAGAGCGGATTTTGTGTGTTGTAGGCCTTTTCTTCTCTGTGGAAGAGGAAACCTGTGTGAATTTGTGTAGCCATGGCGTACCATTCAAAGGCCTTCAGAGGCGTTGGTCAAGAGCCTTGAGGCTACTCCTTCCCAGAGCAACCTTGATTTGAAGGCTGCCTGTGGAAGCCGTCTCCTTACAAAGACACAACACAGACGGCATCTGCTCCATTTTTGCAGTCCCCACCCCCCACCCAAGGTTGGAGTAAGGCAGGCTTTGATAATGAGACTTGCTAATTCATATTTCCAGCTAATAGGTATTCACATCTCTGACGCAGAAGGAACCTTCCCTTTGTATCTCATTAATCATTTCCAGAAATTTAAAGCAAGTTTTGTTTGTTTCAGAGGCCACTGACAATTATTCCCAGGCAGTTTAGTATGTGTTCTTTCTAAGGTGTAGACTTGACTGGAGAAGTTGTGATGGTTCCCTAAACCAAGGTACCAATACTGCATTTTGCCTGAAATTATAGAACAGTTAATCTGGTACCTATTATGCAGTAAAAAGTCTTTTAGTCTTTAAAGCAATGGTGGCTTATATCCTCTATGAGTGTTTTGAATAGATCTCTCTTTTTCAGCATCAGTTCCCTACTGGTGAAATCCAGCATTTACTCTTCTTACTCTTTTATTTAGATAAGTAATTTAAGTAACAATAGAAAACATGTTTTATTCTACATGTGTGACATACGTGACTGCTGATGACTGGATTATATCCACTGTAGGCTTCATGATATTTTCTAAGGAACCTCTGTGGACTTAGTTTTATTTTATTTAAAAATAAT